TATATTATTATAATATTATAAATATTGTACTATATTACGATATAAATTAATAAATATATATACATATATATATACATATACAAATTGTTATATATTCATATTTAAGAACAATTTATTTAATTTAATTATTTTTAAAATATATTATTTAATTAAATTATTATCACATTTTCATTAATAAATATTTTTTAATTCTCAAAATAAAATATTTAACAAAGATATTAACATATTCAAATCTATAAAAATGTTCTAACTTTTTATTATGTAATTAACTATATTATGCAATATCAAATAATAATATATTAAAAGCGTAATGCATATTTTTATTACAAATAAGTTTTTATAAAATAAATATAGAGATCTAGAATATAAAAATATAGAAAAGAATCCATTATTCATAAAGTTTACATTTTAACGATATTACAAATAATTTATATTGAGAATGCGAAATCACATGTTTCGTTGTAATTAATTATAGAATTATCAATATAAATATTATAGAAATTATGAACTTACCTTACAAACAGTTGTTCTTGATTATTTACTCTCCAGGATACCACGGTAGCTCCTAGAAAATGGAAAATATTGGTCAAAATTTGAATTCAGCTTTTTATTTGCAAAAATTATGACTTTCTATTTAATATTATTTCGCATAGAATTGAACTCTACCGCCGCGCACTTGTCATCTAGATAAATATATTCAAAAATTTAAAGAAAACCTACGGCGTGTTTACAATAATGTCATAACTAACACTGTTTAAAAGAAATTTAAATATATTTGATGCATAAAAATATATAATAATAATTAGAAAAAAATAGCATATTAAATTTTTAGATAAACTGTAAATATTCAATATGTAAATAGATATGTATGAATTCATAAATAAACATATGAAAACAGCACAAAAACTGGAGGTTAGGCTTGAGTAAAGGCGCGCACACACTTTATTTTCTTCTTAAACGAAATATAAAAATACGACACAAATCTGAGAACGATATATTGTCAATATATATATATATATATATA